CCACTTCTGCAACACAAGTGAGAAGAATGTTTGGAGCCTGTAGGCTTGTTTCTCTGTACTAAGCAGTATTTGCATGTTCTTCTCACTGTGCTCATTGCTGGAGTCAGCATTAGTACATACTGCTAATGGGCTTCTGTTTTGTTTCTTAATCTTTGTTGTTTTCTCTCCCTCAGAATCGAGTTTCTGCGACACCTGAGAAGCTTCTTCCAGATCATGTTTAAAATTGAAACAAAGACCCCTGAGGAAGAGCACATGGGCGGGGAGAAAGTCTTAATGACATGTGTTGGCATTGGATTTTCCAATCTTAGCAAAACTATACGATAAGAAACATCTGCAGACTTCATGAAACAGGGCAGCAGAAAATGCTGCAGAGATCTGATAAAATGGGCGTTTCCCTGCACTGTTCTGGCACAGGGAAACCAGTGATGATTCCAGTGCAGAGGTACCCAAGCTTGCTGCACATAAACAATAAAGCTGACTTTAGGCTATTTAGACCTGTGCTGTTAACAAATGCAATGCCAGTATTCTGTGCCCCATGGAATGGCTGGCTGGAGTCTCAGCTGGCTTGGGACTCTTTGCACTGTATTACACTGCATGGGACACAAGTGCCTCATGTCCCTGTGCCCTCAAGCCTTAATGCAGTGGGTGCTCTAGTTTTGTGTATCTACAGACTTCACTCTTGGCTTTTTCTGAAAGGTTTAGATAGAGAGGGAAAACAAGATTGACCAAAACAAGCTTTGCAGTGCAAAACAAACGATCACAACAGAAACATTAGGTTCTTGAGGTAATTGCAGAGACAATATTGGCATGGAAATAAAAGTAAAGGTGTGACCATAATTTTTGTTTTATAAGTTGCATGTGTATAGAATTTCTCAAATGCTTCGCTCCTGCTTGCATTGACTAAATACAGTTTCACAGGAAGAAAAAAAAATGTCTTTTAATTTTCCTTAGTGTTAGAATACTGCAGAAGAAATCACAGCCTATACTGACTTGTTTTAGCCTCCTCTGCAAAGATGGGCATGGGAGGAGAAACCTTGATGGTTTTCAACTTACCATATACAGTCTTTTTAGGTTTGTTTGGCATGCCACACACTGCAGTTCACCATTAGTCGTGAAAGGTAGCAAAAAAGCTGTAGGCTTTGAGGGATAAAAATATATTCAGTTATGCCATCACATTTTGTGCAGCTGCTCCCTTTTGAAAGAGGAGATAATGGTGTATGGGAACTGCTTGGAGGGACAGGTGCAAAAAGTTTCTACTGGGATATAAATATTTACCCAGGAGAGGCTTTTGGTAGATTCCAGGCAAACCTGCTGAAGTTAATGCTGAACTCCTGACACAAGGAAAGAAATTTATACTTGACTTCAGACTACACTCAATGCATCTGGAGTAAAATAAAACCATGTCAAAAGCTGGTAATATATAGAGAGCAAATAATAGTGACTGTGTTATAATGGTCTTACAAAGTTTATCTGATGCCACTGTAAAGTGGGCATTACCTCTGTAATATGAAAAATGTATATTGGACCCAAAAGGACTTTGACAAAAAGTTAGGTATTTGATTAGTGTTTTATTAACTAATTGCAGGCTTTGTGAGTCATTTTTGTACTGTACTTTGTTCTTGTTGCAATCTGTCTAAACATGTTTTGGAAAAATAAAGTATTTTTTCCTAAATAAGGTTTTATTTCCCTTTAAAACAAAACAACAACCAAAAACAAACCCCAAAACCTTTTCCACAGCCCTATAAGATGGCAATTCAAAAGATAAATGGCTATTTTGAACTGATACATCAAAAGAACAGCTTTGGGAGTTGTCTGGGTGGGAGGAAGGGAAACAGCGAGGCCCTTCTTATAATTTACTAGCTTTCTAAAATTTGATTTGCACTAAATAAACACTAATAAAACAGTAGAATGTGAAATAAAATTCTTTGATTGTATTTTTAAATTTCACATTATATTGGGAAAAATATGTAGGCAATGAAGAATTTACCTTGCTCCCCTCTGTCACCTGTGCAATGAAAAAGCTAGAAACTCTCCAAATTAAAATTACCTTAAATACAGGTAGCCACTGATCCAAAATGTGAAATGTACAAGTTGAGATTAACAGCCACTGGAATCAAAATATAAAGCTTACACTAATTAAAGATAGAAGTTTGTAGCACAGCTCAGATTTCCAAAATTGGCCTGAGTAAACATTTGGAAGTATTGTCACAACTTCAAAAATCAAAAACTTTATTTTCTTTAAACTTTTAAAGCTCTTTGAAGCTGTGACAGCTTTTCCAAATGTTCCAGTTGCACTAAACATAGAAAGGGCAATGTGTTGCCCAGGTAGCAGATTCTTTAGCGCTAGAGTAATTCTGTCATAAAATTGCCTGTGCTTAACTAAACCTCGGTGTTAAGACTGCTAACCCTTAGCCCTGCTGCACATTGCATAGCTCTACAGCTCAACGCTTGCTATGACTCAGAATTGCTTGTTGCTTTACAGAGAAAAAGATACATATATGAAAGTAATTTGTTTTCCCAGAACAACCAGTCTGGAGAAACAGGAAGAATTCCAGAGGAGGTTTTAGGTAAGAGCTTTCTTAAAATTATTTGACCTTCACATTCTGTGAAAAGTACTTACTAGGAGGAGATCCTGCAGATAAAAGCTGTTTGTTTATCTGCAGAACAGTGATTAACACCTGTTTTGGTGGACTGATCCCACAAGCAGTAAGACAGTTCAATTTTAGAGCTGGGCAGAGGAAATTAATTTTTGGTGAAGGCAATTCGTACTCTTTGTAGCCACAGACTTTATGGTAAGGATGCTAGTTACTAGGAGATGCATCTTTCATCTCAGTCCATCATGGCAGGTTTAATACTCAGTTGACTTGAATTTGAACTGATTAGCTGTACGTGAATAATCTGTACTCTTTGAGCTATCCATCAGCAATTTAGTTAATCTGTTTGGGTGAACAACTCTGATAATACCCTTCAGCTGTGACTGGAAACTTTTCTGCTTACAGAAAGCTTTAAGGCTGGACCATAAGGAGGTACAGATGTAGGGGGGATTAATTAACAGAAGTATTTTGAAATGTTCATTTTAATTGCAATAATTTTAACATGTGGAGAGGGTGAAGTATGCACAGGAAAATGGTTTGGGGGGGAACTAATCAGAACACCTCACTAAATGGAGAATCTCTTCCTTTAAACTTGCCTAACAGGACAGGCTGCTACAGTGGTGATGTGAAAAGTATTTGCAAAATGTTCCTTTACCTTGCACCCGCTTCCAGTTTTGTAATATCTATTGTCAAACTCTCTTCCATTTCTAAGCTACAATGGTAATTTGACTGCACCTTCTGTGGTTACATCAGGAAATTCATGTTAACTTGCTGTAGCACAGGTTCTGGAGTAGTAGAGATTATGCTGAAGGTGAAATTGCTTCAGTCCAAGCCAGTGCACTTTACTGAAGGTGTACGACTAGAAGCTAGTGCAATAACTGTCTGGGGAAGCACACACTAGGTAAGTTAGCTAGGCCAAAACAGTAAGTACATGGCTGTCTTGGGTAATGTTTTCAAAATGGTGATTATGTTACTGCCAGAGCATAGATACTCTCTCTCCCCTTCTCCTTCCCCACAGGTGATATTATGAGTCAAATGGATTTTGTTTCAAGCCACCAAGGCATAATTCTGTTGCTTGCAAGCTCTGACATTCACTTCCCCATTTTTCAGTCATGCTCTTGAGACAGCAACAGGAGGAAAAAAAGACAAGAAAAGTACCAGCTTTCAGGAGGCATAATTTTGCCTATGAGTTTCTCATTTTTTGATATTGTATGGACATCTCCACGCTTTTATTTTCTATGTCTGATGAAAGCGTTTCTATTTAGCCTAGATCCTAGGGCATACCAAGTGAGACATGCAACTGTGTCAGGACAACTCTGAAAAAGGTGGATGGGCATCTGCATCTTTTACAGTTACTGCTTAAGTCTCGGTGAGCTCTGTCATAAAAGATCATTCTTGGTGTCTTATGTACAGTTTTCCTTGTGTCCAATCTAGGAGCAGCGCTGACAAGCTCTGAAAAACACCTATTACCTGTTGTCAGTGGGAGGGGTAAAAAGACAGAAAGTCCTGCAGGGAAGAGAGTGTGTGGGTTGAACTCTGCGGTGCCAGCATTGTATGTGTAATGAACGTTAAGTCATGCACTGCATCAGAACATCACAATGTCCAAATAGTACTTGTGCTAGATAAAGTTAAGTTGTGACATTGTTTTAAGACAGATTTGTTAGGATGATTTGTAGTGTATATCTGTAGCAATAGATGTTAGGTGTGAGTGCTAGTCTCTCTCCTGGAACAGTAAGATTAGTACGTATACACACCAAGAAGAGTGCCCAGACCTATATTCCCTGTGTACTACAGAGTAGAGAAACAACTGTGTGTGTGGAGGTAGCAAATAAGGAGACCCATGGAGAAACTGTTTTATTATAAACTGGTACTGATCGAGGCTATAACCACAAGAAAACAATGACCAAATTCACACTTGGCCAAATTTACAACTCTTTACATTGGGGCCAATGGTGGCTGGGCGCCTGCCACTGCTGGCAACCCCTGTGCACAACTGTGCAGCTGTTGGGGGGAGCCCTTTGTGGACACCGGGGGTAGACCGGTGTCTTTGTACATTTGCCCTCATGCTGTATGTCTGCCGGATTGTCCACACTCACCCTGCTCTTCTCTGTATCGGTTTGGCCACACTTTCCTAGCAGCCTCTGCTGTGCTGTTCACACAACAAACATCAACACTCCTTCAACAGTGAGCCCATGGTGAAAATCTGTAGGGTCCTTGTGGAGACTGATCCATGTGCTTAACTATGGATGAGCTAGTATGATTACGGGCTTGATTCCTGTGATCATCACTACGTGTCAGTGACACATCCCATTATACAAAATGTGACGGGCTCAGTAGGGCACCCATGTTTGCAGGCTGCATTGAACATCACACCATTTGAGAACAACTGTCTTACTCCTTCATACCTTGCTTCCAACCTGCAACCACTCTGCTCCTTGAAAGTTACTTACACCTTTTCCAATCCTAAACTGTCTCCATGGATAAGAAAAAAAAATTGCTTTAGCCAGTGATGAATGTAGATATATTCTGTAAGGTAAGACTGGTTCTGAACAGTCATCCCTCAGCACCATCAGGGCAGACAATTCTCTTCTATGTGTCTGGAAATGTAGTTTTGATTAGGTATAAAATAGCATGCATCTGCAGGCTGGGTCTAGATCAAAATATGTATGAGTTTTGATTATTTAGTGTCTCTCTTTTTTTTTTTTTAATAACATCACCAAAGTGAAAAAAAGAGAAAAAAACAACCCCAAACTTACAGCTTGTTTGTGTGTCAGCATTCAGAAGGTGCCTGATTCAGTAAGGATTCCTGAGAGA